TCAATATGTTAAGAGGGAGAATGTGCCCAAATTACTTCAATAAAAATGTTTATGATATTTTTCACCTCTATTTTACTTAGTTACAAAGAGCAAATAGCAACCTAATCCAGTTCACTTGAAAAGCCTACCAGGCCTGCCAGCACATCCAAAGAAATTGAGGATTGCACAGACATCATGTTAGATGAGGCCTTGAAGGATGCCTTTCATTTTAAAAATTGAATTTCTTAATTAATTTTAACATGTAGAGAATTTTGATTGATTGGCCTGCAGTTGTAGTCCTTGGAGGAAAAACTTGTGATTTTTTTCTTTTTTTCTTTTTTTCTTTCCCCTGTTGATTCAACACATTGCAAGCTGTGATGGTTTATTATTAACTAGGTCTTTTTGTGTCAGTATTTTTCTGGCCTTTTGAGACCAAAGGAGGAATTGTGTTTGCTGTGCAGTTACCTTATTTGAGCGTCTCTTGTTGTAATGCTGATTTAGGGCAGTACCACAAATGGCTCATTCTTCTGACAGCTGAAGTAATTAAGGTATGAACCAATCATGGGAACATGTATTTTAATAACTTATTATTTTTCTTTCTATTTAGCTCATCACCAGAGTGGGCATAACAGTGGTGTGATTCACAGTGGAATTTACTACAAACCTGGATCTCTGAAAGCTAAGCTGTGTGTGCAGGGTGCAGCCCTCTGCTACGAGTACTGTGACCAGAAGGGAATACCGTATAAACAGTGCGGGAAGGTATAGGAACTGCTGCGTGTTCTTACTTTACCTTTGGAAACTGAGACTGTATAATGTATGTTACAATGCATAGCATAGGCCTGGTTGTGGTCTTCCTCCCAAGAGATGACTTTCTGCAACACTTACTACCTTCAGGATGAATGTGCCCTTTTGTTTTCTTCTTTCCAGCAACTCAAACCAGTTCCTTTCCTGGGCCTAAATAATAATTCTCCTTATCTGGGGGCTGAGCTGAAATAGCCCAGGTAACGGCGGAAGCCAGGCCCCGTGGAGGGGCACCCGTGTACAGCCACTAGCTCCAAGGACCGCAAAGGCTCTCAGGATACACATGCCGTACTTCTTGGCATATCAGGCTCTGAAAAGACACGGTGACTTGAAAACAGCTTCAGATGTGACCCACCTACATGCGTTTATGCCATGTTACGTCCAGCTAACACAACCTGAAACGCTGAGGACAGAAGAGTGGCTGTACTGATCCAGCTTGGGGTCTGCCCAACCCTATATCCCGTTTCTGGAAGTGTCTATTAACAGAGACCCAGGAAGGAATGAGAACAGAACAAGCAAATTATTACTTCTCCCAGCTTCCAACTGTTTTCAGCTCAGGTTATTTTCTGAGCCTGATCTGTTCTATCTCTAGTGACTCGCAGTGGATTTCTCTTCCAAGTGTTTTTCAGTTAAAAGCTTTTGCATCAGAGCATACTTTGACGAGCAGTTCCAGAGATCAACAACCCACTGCATGAAGAGTTACATCATTTTGAAACTGGCTCCTACGAGCTTCATCTGATGGCCCCTAGCCCTTCTGTTGGAAGAGGTGGTGAACAGTTGATCTGTGCTCACACTCTCCAAGTTGCACATAATTTTATATCCCCTCCTCCTCCAAAGTCGTCCCTTCCGGCTGGTGAGTCTTAGTCTGCTCAGTCATTCCTCTTAGAGAAGCTTCTTCATGACTCTCCCCACCCTGTCTGCATTCTCTGAACCGTTTCTAGTTTAATGCATCTTTGATACAAGATGAGGACCACAACTGCGCACAGCATTCAAGGTGTGGTCAGGCTCTGGATTTTTGCAGTGAAGTAGTAGAGTTCTCTGTCTTATCCTGTATCCTTTTCCTAGTTGTTCCTAACATTCAGTTTAGGGTTTTTCAGCTGTCACTAGCCGTTGAGCTGATGCTTCCATAGGATTGTCTATCCTAACCCCAAGATCTTGGTCCTGAGTGATAACTTTGAACGAGGATTCCGTCATTTTATACGTGAGGCTGAGAGTGCTTTTTCTGTGATCGTCATTTCACATTTATCTGCATTGAATTTCATCTGCCATTTTGTTAGTCGCTCGTTCACCTCGGAAGGTCCCTCTGCAGTTCTTTACGGTCAGCTCTTGTCTGAACCGCCTTGAGTCACTTCAGACCATCATCTGACTTTCTCACCTCCCTGCCCCTTCCCAGGTTGCTCATAAACATCTTGGACAGCACGAGCCTTTCTCTTAAAAGTGCAGTGCAGACCCTATCTGATGTGACGAGCTCTATTTCAAGGCCTCCTAGCTCAGCGCCCACCGAGACCTGGGTGCAGATCTCTCCCAGCTCTGGGGTGCAGAGCAGAGATCCCTGGACGTGGCAGTGTTGATGGGCCTTCCACTGGTGCGGGTGGTGTTTGTCCTGTCCAGCGTCACTGGCTGCGCGCAGTGCTGTGTTCGTGCTGTGCTCCCTGTGCTGCAGCGCTGGTCACAAGATGGCACTGTGGATTTGTGCAGCAGTACACCTGAAGTTACAAGCCTGCTCTCAACTCAGCGCACCAAGACGCGTGCTGCGCTCTGCAGGAGTCAGTCTGGGCTTGGGCAGGGCTAGCGCTGACCCAGCAGCATTGTTGGTCCTTTGCTGACACTGAATTTGTGTACTTCTGCATCACGTTCCCCAGCAGTGTTTATTCCAGGGAAGATGATGTTGAGGCTTTACAGCCAGGCTTGGAGAACTTAGTGCCTTCTCAGTGCAAAGCTGCCTGTGTTGCCAGACCTGAGCTAGGCCTGGAAGTAGTATGGTCTGTGCAAACCTCGCACAGATAATTCATAGTCTGGATAAATCTCTTGCGATAGTTGTGAGCTAACTACATGGTTAAATGAAGTGAAGCTGGTACA